GGACATATTTACGAAAAGCCTATTTGACGGAAGGTGGGGATCATTACGGCAATTATCCCCCTGATGATTATACCTTCATAGAGCGAGAGCATTGGGAGGAGTTTCTGATCCAGATGGGGACTCCGGAAGCTAAGGTAAACCATAATTGCCTTCATTGAATGAATTTATTACTTGACATATTAATTTATTTTTAACAATTCTTTTAGGCTTTGAGCGATAAGAATAGGGATATACAGAAGAAGAATTCCTATCCGCATTTTATGGGCCGAGGTGGATATGCCATGCTTTTGCGTGAGTTGGCAGTTGGTTCTCAGGCCAACACTAGTACTTCTGCTGATATCGCTGGTTCGTCTACAGAGAAGAGTTCTCAGCTGGGACGAGAGGACACTTGGTTGCGAGGTCACACCCCGGGGAGGCAGGCAGAAGTTACGGACCCTGCACTGATGGAGATTCGTGATAGGATAGTAAGCATATAATCTACAATTGCGTCAATATATATGTTTATTACTTGTTTATTATTTGCTTACAATTTCTTTACTTCTTTTCTTTCTTAATTGTAGGTTCAGCTAAAGAAAGAGGTCGCAGCCGGTACCTTTGTTCCAAATGGGCACAATGATGTACTGACTAGAGCTTTAGGGTCTGCCGAGCACCCAGGACGGACGAGGGGTGTTGGGTCATATTCGGGCTTACGTAAATTTTTTAATGGCAACATGAAGCCTCGTAAGCCCGAAGGTAACTATTTGACTGAGGATGATCTTTTGCAGCGTCTTCCTTCCCTTCTGCAGCAGTATGGACTATCTGTGTCCGGGAGTGCTCCAGAAGGGGCATCCATGTCGCAGCACACACCGTCTGTACCACCTCATTATGAGCTTCAGCGTAGTAGCAAGGCGTCTACAGATTTTGTTGACGTTGCCGGTGTCACTGAGGTACATATATTTTGTAATTAAGGTTTCCCGTTTAGTTTACGTTTACTTGTTTCCGAAAATAGTTTACTAATTGTATTTTGTAGGTTTCTCCTTGTTACTTGAGGATCTCTGATCCATCAGATTACATAGTGGCACATGGATCGGTTTTCCCACGTGCACTGGGAGATATGGTGCACGGTGTTCCCCTCCTTCCCCACCAGGTTAAGGTCTCTGTGACCCTTGTGCTTCCTGGAATGGGTGAATATACCATTCCTTGTCCGACTGAGCATATAGAGACTGTGGCCGATTGCTTGGGGAGCTTCGTTGCATGGCCTAAGTCATTGGTGGGCATTGGAGATGTAAGTAAATAAATTTAGTTTTTTT